CCACCTTTCATCCAGACTCTCTCATTGACTTTTTGACAACAACTGACTTACTTCACAAATTCTGATACCTTCAGCCCTTTCTACTTCAATCTTTTGCTACCCTCTACCCCCGTACTATCCCCTGCCCCGCTGTTTTCTGTAACCTACTGATCATCCCTCCTCCCTTCTGCCATCCAATACCCTCGCTTCCTTCCCTACCCTGCAGCACTGTATAGCCCTTGTGGCTTAGCGCTTCTTTTTGATTATAATAATAATACACTGGAATTGGCCGAAAATAGGGCTCAAAGTTGGCAAAATCGCCGATGCGTAAACATCGTTTAGACCACTAACTTCGCGAGAGCATAATTCCATAAGTTTACCATCAAATTTCATACTTTTGGTGTCATTATGATTGGGAAAGGATTCTCTCTCTTTTAGTAAGAAAAAAAAAATTTTTTTTTTTTTTGGAAATTTGGCTGACCCTGAGAACAAGTCTCTGACCCCTAAAGGGTTAAATGTAATAGAATGTTATGTGTAGGTGGGGTGGCCTGGTATTGTCGCCCGGCTGACTACCATACATACCACACTTGATTTCTTAAAGTAAATACTACTTGTCTCACCCTAGATTTAAACTATAGATATTTTAAGGTAAATAATGAGTGCACTGTGTGTGTATTGTAGTTTTTATTGTATTTTGATGCCTAGTTCTATTGCTAACTTAGTATATGTTAGTGTAAACTTGTTATCTAGTGTTTGTATGCATTTATAAGGGGGAGAAAAAAGGGTGTTCCACTTTACGGCAATTTCCGCTTTATGGCAGTAGCCTGGAACCTAACCTGCCATATAAGTGGGGCCCTACTGTATACAGTATTGGTCTCTCAGGCCCCAAATGTTAGTAGGAAAAGAAAAAAAATAGAAAAAAGAACTAAAAAACATAAAATAATGCGCGTATGTGGAAATCGTCGATGTTGCCGCCACCTGGTCATTTTGGGTCAACTTCTCGGCACTGTATCTCGGTAAGTACTGATCAGAATTTTTTTTTTTATTACCTTCACAAAAATACAGTGGACCCCCGCATAACGATTACCTCCGAATGCGACCAATTATGTAAGTGTATTTATGTAAGTGCGTTTGTACGTGTATGTTTGGGGGTCTGAAATGGACTAATCTACTTCACAATATTTCTTATGGGAACAAATTCGGTCAGTACTGGCACCTGAACATACTTCTGGAGTGAAAAAATATCGTTAACCGGGGGTCCACTGTATACTCTTGAATTCTGTAAGAAAAAATAATTTTATTTTATTTTTATTTTTTTTTTTTTTTTTTTTTTTTTTTTTTCAAAAATTTCTTGGACACTGGGGCACCCCTTCCGATTTTGACCTTGGACCTTGAAAGGGTTAATATTTTTGGGTGTCTGAAACAGATTGATTGGATTTACATTATTTCTTATGGGAAATATGGCTTCAGTTTTCTTTGAATTCAGTTTTCGTCAGACTCTATGGAACAAATTAAAGACGAAAACCGAGGTTCCACTGTGAATACTCTAGAATGAATAAAATATGTCATTATGTGACGAGTGGTGGCGTCCACTCCTAATTATTGCTCGTCTTATTATAAGAGAAAACAGTGTGTTTGTAGGGCTGACTACACTAGATAACTAGTTTCATGAGGAAAACACTGAAACAAAAGCATTTTTCTCGTTTTTCTATGATTTCACACTTTAATTCAATGGACATCATCATCCTCTTCTCAGCACTGTCCTTTGCACTTACTTTCCTAAGACTCATGGTTAGAAAAAAAGAAATTTGGCAAAATAACTGCACAAAACACTGGGATGCTGGGCGGATGTTGTGGCATTCACTGCTCCAACTAGTGGCGGCGTATCTGAAACTTGCTCATAACTCAGATTTTGGCTCACAACTCAAAGCAAAAAATCGACCAAGCGATAGCTTGTAACTCAGAAAACTTGTAAGTTGGGGCACTTGTAAGTCAAGGTACCACTGTGTGTGTGTACTCACCTATTTGTGGTTGCAGGGGTCGAGTCCTAGCTCCTGGCCCCACCTCTTCACCGGTTGCTACTGGGTCCTCTCTCTCCCCACTCCATGAGCTTTACCATACCTCGTCTTAAAACTATGTATGGTTCCTGCCTCCACTATATCACTTTCTAGGCTATTCCACTGCCTGACAACTCTGACTGAAGAAATACTTCCTAATATCTCTCTTACTCATCTGTGTCTTCAACTTCCAATTGTGACCTCTTGTTTCTGTCCCCCCTCCCTGGAACATCCTGTCTATTCTGCGCAGTATTTTATATGTCGTTATCATGTCTCCCCTGACCCTCCTGTCCTCTAGTGTCGTCAGGCCGATTTCCCTTAACCTTTCTTCATAAGACATTTCCCTTAGCTCTGGAACTAACCTTGTCGCAAACCTTTGCACTTTCTCTAGTTTCTTGACGTGCTTTATCAAGTGCGGGTTCCAAACAGGTGCTGCATACTCCAGTATGGGCCTGACGTACACGGTGTACAGTGTCTTGAATGATTCCTTATTAAGGTATCGGAACGCTGTTCTCAGGTTTGCCAGGCGCCCATATGCTGCAGCAGTTACCTGTTGATGTGTGCTTCCAGAGACATGCTCGTTGTTATACTCACTCCAAGATCTTTCTCCTTGAGCGAGGTTTGCAGTCTTTGGCCACCTAGCCTATACTCTATCTGCGGTCTTCTTTGCCCTTCCCCTATCTTCATGACTTTGCATTTGGCGGGATTAAATTTGAGAAGCCAGTTGCTGGACCAGGTGTCCAGTCTGTCCAGGTCTCTTTGAAGTCCTGCCCGGTCCTCATCTGATTTAATTCTCCTCGTTCAGGGTTGAGAGACCCTCTCCTAAACTTATTCTCAGGGTCGAAAATTTTTTGGAAAAAAAAAAAATTGTTTTCTTATAAAAAGATAGAGAATCTTTTCCTGATCATAATGACACCAAAAGTATGAAATTTAATGGAAAACTTACAGAATTATGCTCTTGCGAATTTAGCGGTCTCGACAATGTTTACGCATCGGTGATTTCACCCACTTTGAGCCCTATTTTCGGCCAATTCCAGTGTACTAGATGACTTTCCACTTTGAATTTTTATTCTCACCAAAAAATAGAAGATTTACTGTTATGCAGACTACTGCATTAGTGTAGAAATGTTATAAAGAATATCAGTGCACTTGTGATAGAATATTAGACTCGCCAGTTGATGTGTATTGGACACATGGCATGATTTGTTTACTTTTGAACTTTGACAAAAATCAAACATTTATTCTGCTTTAAGCTCAATTTCAAGGTACTTTTCATTGTGAAACCAATCAAAATCATCTCAAATTCTGTAAGATGTCTTCCATTCTATAAATTGAGACCAGGAAAACTAGAATACAACCATAAATACCATACGAAAATACAGTGCAAAGTCGCTGTTTTAAACCAAAAACGCGGTCAAAGATTTTTTTCTCATTACGCACTGTGCTGCAGGATTTTTTTTATACTGTGCACACTGACCACATAGACCCATTCTTTCATATGTAGGCCTATCAGCTTTCTCTCGCTAGATTTGAAGGCGCTAGAATTTACGCGTACTTGTACGTCAATAACCCTGGTGCGTAAGCCATACTAGTTCGTTGGAAACCCTGAAAGGGTTAATTATATCTTAAGGATGAAACTAGGTACACAAGTTGAAGGTTTGATAGACAAGAACAGTTTTTTTTTTTTTTTTTTTTAACGGTAGCTTTGAAGCTGCTGGGAGACAGAAAGACAGGATTTTTTTAGGTAGATAGTTCCAGATTTTAGGTCCTTTCATTCACATTGAGTTTTTACAAAGATTGAGCCAAATGTGGGGAATATTGGAGAGTTTTGTCAGGTATTATGCCTGAGTTCTGTTGCAATTATCAAAAAAGAGTTTCAGGGCAGGATTGATATTAGAATTTATTTTCCTGTATATGTAGTTTGCTTAGTAGTATGAGTGAATTTTATGTATGTTTAGTGGGTTTAGGCTTTTGAAGATTGGGGGAGTGTGTTGTCTGGGTGATTATTCATACTTCTGTTTTTTGTTGTGTTATTGGCTTAAGGTGATTTGCTGTAGTGGATCTCCAGGCACAGCTAGTATAGATGAGGTAGGGATAGAATATAATGTAAGTACGTAGTGCTGTTTGAGGCACATGGTAACATTTTGGAGAGGGTGTCAACTGATTTGGATACTTTTTCTTGTAATGTGTTGAATTTGAAGTTGCTGTCTAGGAAGAGGTCTAGGAACTTTCCTTCATGTTTAGCAATGGGAGAACTATTAATCGTAATACTTAGTTGGACATTTGTATCTATGGCCCCTAACATTATGTAGGTCTTGTCCATGTTCAGTGTGAGTTTGTCATCCTGGTTGATATCATTAACGATGTTGTTGAGGGAATTTAGATTTGGGTGGGAGATGACTAAAGCTGTCTTGCCGGCAAAGAGAACAGTTCTAAGTAGCCGAGATGCATTTGGAAGATCATTGATGCTTATAAGGAAAAGTAGAGCCAAGAATACTGCCATGCAGGATGCCTATGTTGACAGATCCAAGCTGGAACAAAATGTCATAAGTTTTATTCTCCTATGTGCAGGTTTGTGAAATGTACTTCTTCTCCAAAAATTGCACATTTATTTGTAGAATACATGCTTGTGCAGTGGTCTGAATAATTCTTATTGCATCATTATTCATTAAATACTTAAAGAATATTGCAAGTTAATGTTATGGAAGAAAATAAATATTGCACATGACCTATATAGATCATGTAAAGTTATACACACTGAAGGCTGAAAATTACAATAGTGAATGCTAGTAATAGGTGGTGGCCATTATGCACAGTTGTATGTGTGCAAAAGTTATAATCATTGCAAACAGAGGAAAAAAATGCCAAACAGGTGTAATGTGCATTAAAATCTTCGTTCTTTAAATACTTGTGTTTCATAATGTGCAATTTTTTCAGTTTAAATAATGCCATTTTATTTTTCAGTATCGATGTCGTAGGCCAACCAGGGTAGTTTGCCTCCCTTATTACAATATTCTCGGCGCCTAATACTGGTATGTATCAATAACAAGTTTGTGGCATGAATAATTTGTAACTAATTCTCAATTGCATCTATGCCTACACAATGTTTTCAATTACTCACCCACACTATATTTGCTACACCAGTTGAATTATCAACTTGAAGGCGATCCTGCCTACCCTGCTAAATGAGCCTTGACTCCAAATAAACATTAGGGAATTTTATTCCATTTCTCCCAGGCAGAACCAGCTTAAATAAGACATGATGAATAGCCTGAATTTTGAATTTCTGCAACTTTGCAACTCCTGAGTGTTGATTGCAACATCAAACACCTCAGAACTCATTCAACTCCCCATTGGTTATCTTTGTATTCTTTCTCATCTTTTACGATTACTTTGTTAGTGTTGCGCAATACGACATACATCAGTAGGCATTGAGAATAAGGTCCACGGACTTAAGAACATAAAATGCACTATTATGTGGTTTTTAATCTCTTAAAGTAAGCAAAGCACTTTTTGTATCGCCTTTCTTCTGTTAACTTATTATATTTGTCATTAATCAATTTTATATTTCTTTATAACAATTATAAATGTTTATCATTCTAGGCTGCTGTGTTGAAATACGAGAACAACGTAATGAATATTCGTCAGTTCAACTGTTCACCTCATCCTTACTGGCTACCAAACTTCATGGATGTCTTCACATGGTCACTTCCATTTGTAGGAGAGAAGGGTAATGTTAATATTTTTATTAAGCATTCAGCTTCAGGTGTAATGTTTTACCAGGATAAAGGTAATGGTTTAATACTGAAGCAGATCATTTTGATTGTTTAACATGTTTTGTTAGGCATACATAATAAACATTTTTTTCTCTTGTACCTTCAATATTTCATTGCTGTCGATGTTCCTAAAATACAGTACTAGCCTCTGTTTATGGGGAATGAACTTCATCCTAACTGGAAAAATAGGTCGTGTCATATTTGCACTTAAAATCGTCTGCTTTCCGTACTTACACAAGTAGTGTTCTACTTATGCATTACCCTCACATTAAAAATGTTTCTTGCATCTCGGGCTAATTTGAGTCTATAGTTTCCAAGTATTACATAGATCCTTCAAGCATGTCTCATCCCAAGTTAATTTTTTGTGTGATGTTGTTGTAGGGATCTTGTTGTGTTTATGCCTACAGGAGTGGAGCTGTTATCTTAACAAATTAATTAATGAGGATTGAGTTTAAAGTTTCATCTTATGAAACCCATTCCAACCAACTTCCACTGTTTTCTTTTCATTTTCATTTTAACTAGCTTATGATAATCACATATTTTTTGTTTTTTCCAACAAGGATATATCTTGCATTTTCATTCCTCCTTCACAATTCCTCTAAAAGCAAGTGGGCTTGGGTGATGTAAAATACTGCCAGTGAAAAGCAGGGGTGTAAAGAGTGCATCAAGATAACTTGACTCGGTAAATGTAAAAGGACCATGACTTTTCTACACCCATCTTCCATACATGAAGGGATTACTAACAATCCTTTAGTTTCCTTAGAGAGAACATAAGTTGCTCAGGTCAATTCCTGATCAGCCAGGCTGTGGTGCCTCTGTTGGAGAATGTTTACAGGTCAACATAAGCAAAACAACACACTGATAGCCAAATTTATGGATGAGGACTTTCCTATGCTGAGAGGAGTAGCATAGGCTTCTGTACATATTACAGTTAAATGTAAACACTTTCACAACTGTTCACTGTCAAAGTGTCGTGCTAGCACCTTGCATTACAGAATCCAATCAAAACATTACAGTTTGTATGTTTGATTAACCCCTAAATTGTGGTATGCCTGGAAAAAAACTTATATGTACTTTGGAAGAATTTTAAGGAATTCTTTTTTCTTCTAGAATGAAAGAGTGCATTTTTATAAATTGAATAAGATGATAATGAGTAAAATGTGATATAAACTTAAATTTTATGGTCTGTTGTAGTTGCCAAAAAATTTATCACTTGTCAGCAACAACGGCTTAAATGTACCAGTGGTATTTTAAGTTTTACCACTTTTTATTTTTTCAACACTCCATGTCTTGCCGAGGCAGGGTGACCAGAAAGAAAAGCAAAAGTGTTTCTTTTACATGTAGTAATTTATACAGGAGGTGTTACTAGCCTTTTCCTTTGTTTCTAGCATTTTAGTAATCTCTTATAACACGTGTAGCTTACAGGGGAAGATTTTTTTCCACTTCCCCATGGAGATGAATGGAAATAAATAAGAACAAGAGCTACTAAGAAGATAGAAGAAAACTCAGATAGGTGTGTATACATGTGTGTTCATGAATGTGTAGCATGATCTAAATGTTAGAAGTAGTAGCAAAATGTGTGTGTTATCTTGCATATTTATGAGAAAAAAACGCCAGCAGTCCTACCATTGTGTGAAACAATTACAGGTTTTGTTTCACAGGCATTTGGTAGGAGGGTAGTACCTCCCTGGGTGGTTGCTGTCTACCAACCTACTACCATAACCCGAACCAGCATGGTTTTAGAGCAGGACGATCATGTCTGTCACAGCTGCTGAACCATTATGACGGCATTATGGAGGCATTGGAAGAAGACCAAAACACAGATGTGATTTGCACAGATTTTGCAAAGGCGTTTGACAAATGCGATCATGGAGTGATAGAGCACAAAATGAGGGCCATGGGCATTATGGGAAAGGTAGGCACATGGATTTTCAGGTTCCTAACACACAGAACACAACAAATAGTAGTAAACAGAGCAAGAACCATAATCAGCGAGGTCAAAAGCTCAGTGCCCCAAGGCACTGTCCTGGCACCTCTGCTGTTTCTCATCCTTATAGCAGATATATATCAAAACACCGATCACATTTTGTATCATCATTTGCAGATGACACTAAAATAAGCATGAAAGTCACTATAATAGAGGACAGTGAAAAATTACAGGAAGACATAAGCAGGGTTTTCCAGTGGGCAGTGGAGAACAACATGTTCAATGGTGATAAGTTCCAGCTGCTTAGGTATGGAAAGAATGAAGAACTCAAAAGGAACACTATGTACAAAACTCGAGAGGGTCACAAAACGGAACGAAAGGAACACTTAAAAGATCAGGGAATAATTATGTCAGCTGACCTTTCTTTTAAGGAACACAAGACAAAGATCACAACAGCCAGGAAGATGACGGGGTGGGTCAATATTGAGAACTTTCAAAACGGGAAATAATGCCGATGGTGACACTTTTCAAATTGCTAGTGCTCCCTCGTTTAGAATATTTCTGTGGTGACAGCCCCGTTCAAGGCAGGAGAAACATCAGAGCTGGAACAATTACAAGGATCTTTTACGGCTTGCATTGAGCAGTAAAGCGCCTAAATTACTGGGAATGCCTTCAAGTCTTGAACATGTACAGTGGACCCCCGGTTAACGATATTTTTTCATTCCAGAAGTATGTTCAGGTGCCAGTACTAACCGAATTTGTTCCCATAAGGAATATTGTGAAGTAGATTAGTCCATTTCAGACCCCCAAACATACACGTACAAACGCACTTACATAAATACACTTACATAATTGGTCGCATTGGGAGGTGATCGTTAACCGGGGGTCCACTGTACTCGTTGGAGCGGAGGAGAGAGAGAGATGCATGATAATGTACACCTGGAAAATACTCGAAGGCCTGGTCCCAAATCTGCACACTGCATGGCATAACAACATACTGGAGTGAGAGATATGGGAGGAAGTGTAAAATAAACCCAGTGAGGAGCAGGGGTGCGGTGGGGACAATAAAGGAATACTGTATCAACATCCGGGGTCCCATGACTATTCAACATCTTACCAAAAGATATCAGAAACAAGACTGGAGCAAGTGTAGAAGTCTTCAAGAGGAAATGGGGCAAGTACAGTGGAACCTCTACTTACGAGTGCATCCATACGTGAGTTTTTCCAGATACGAGCAGTCGCTCAGTCGATTTTTTGCTTCCAGACGTGAGCGAAATTTCCAGATGAGAGCGAGCTGGTGAGGGGCTCTTGCTCTTGATCTAGGGAATTGGATCTCAGTTATTTGTTGGACTATCTTATTGAAACTTGCACAATGTAAGATGGAAAGATGCTTCTTAGTGTACACCAAAAATGAAAGAAATCAGACCATAAATAACGGAGTTCACTTCTCAGCCTTAGCCTCCCCTTAGCGATATATTTTTGTATGGTTCTTATTGTTATATTCTCGTTTTTTTGGTCTCATTTGATAGAATGGAAGATATTCTACAGAAATAGATATGATTTTGATTGGTTTCACGACAAAAAAGTACCTTGAAATTGAGCTCAAAGTAGCAGAAATGTTCGATTCTTTGGCGATGTTCAAGAGTAAACAATTGAAATCACCGTCCAATGCCTGTCTGATTGGCACTGCCCCTCAACCTTCACATATTGGAAAGTTCTTCAACCTGCTAGATGAAGTGGGAGCAGACATCATGAGGTAGCAGTGGTAGACTACATGAAGCTGTAGTGGTAGACAACATGAAGCTGTAGTGGTAGACAACATGAAGCTGTAGTGGTAGACAACATGAAGCAACAGTGGTAGACAACATGAAGCAACAGTGGTAGACAACATGAAGCAACAGTGGTAGACAACATGAAGCAACAATGGTAGACATCATGAGGTAGCAGTGGCAGACAACATGAAGCAGCAGTGGCAGACAACATGAAGCACCAGTGACAGACAACATGAAGCAGCAGTGGCAGACATGAAGCCACAGTGGCAAACATCATGAGATAGCAGTGGCAGACATCATGAAGCAGCAGTGGCAAAGTGGAGCATTAAGAGTGTAACAATTAGTGTAACAGTTAAGTGTAGCAATAAAGTGTAGCAATAAAGTGTAGCAGTAAGAGTGTAGCACTTACAAGTCTCACTGTCTGACTTTTTTGGGTTATCCTAGGTTCTCTACACATGTAGTCAGGAGCAGGAATGGCCGCTGTGGTGGCCCTATAAATCCCAACAACAACAGTGGCCGCTGTCACCACTAGCCACATACATAATGACATGTATTTTATTCATTCTAGTGTATATATCATGTTTCTAGGTTATTAATATTGTTATGTCATATTACATGAATTGCAATAGATAAATAAGCCAGAGAGTTGATATTTGGGAAATTATTGAAGTATTTTCTCGTGCCTGGAATTCCACTGGAACGAAATAATTCCATTCCAGTTAATTTAAATGAGGGATATTGACTCTGCAAGCGAGCAAATCCAGATGCAAGCAAGATCATGGAAAGGTTTAAACTCGTAAGTAGAGGTTCCACTGTATCTTCACCAGGTGCCAGATCAACCAGGCTGTGATGAATATGTGGGGCAGCAGGCCTCCAGCAGCAATAGCCTGGTTGATCAGGCAAGCACCGGACGAGACTGGCCCATGGCCGGGCTCTGAGAGTAGTTAAACTCTCAAAACTCTTCAAAGGTATTCAAAGGTACCTAATTTTTACAATTTATTGATGCCAAATTATGATTTTTTTTTTAATTGCTTTTAATGTTTAACACTCTGTACCCAAGTTTCTTATGATATTAGATGTGTTTAAAGATATTTTAACACTTCAAACATGGGGAAATGCTTAGTCCAACATTGCTCCACCTGGAATATACAGTATATATTGGTAAAAAGAATTGTTTTTATTTAATCTTTTTCACTACTTCGGTCTTCTAACACTAATGTACAAGGAATATTTATAATACAATTGTTTCAAGGTGTAAGACTCCTCAGAATTATGGAAATGCTGGAATAATTAGTTTTTATTACCAGCATAATGCTTTAGTTAGTGTGCGTGTACTCGCCTAGTTGAGGTTGCGGGGGTCGAGTCCGAGCTCCTGGCCCCGCCTCTTCACTGATCGCTACTGTGTGTGTGTGTGCGCGTGTGTGCGTATGCGCGTGTGTGCACGTGTGTGTGTGTGCGTATGCGTGTGTGCGTATGCGTGTACATGCGTGCGTGCATGTGTGTGCATGCATGTGCATATTTAAATATCTTAAAAGTTACCTTATTCAAAACCTGTGCTTTGATACTGTGCTGATAATGTTTCCTTTTAAATTTCAGTAACGGAGATGTTAGTAAATGTACTCAACATCTGCTCAGATGATGAGCTAATGGATGGAGAGGAGTCCCTTGATGAAGGTAGGTACCTAAAAAGACACTGCATTTAGTATGGGTTCAAGATGAAGAGCTAGAGGGCATGGGCAACATAGTAGACTTTACCTCAGGATAACTCAGGTTGACGTCAGGTTAATAATTGCAGTTCTAAAATGATTTTTGCTATGGTCATATCAGCAATAACTTAATTAACACCAAAATTAGTATGGGATGAAACTTGAGGTTAAAGTCCAATTGGGTAGTACTAGAGGGAGCCTACTTCATTTATAAAAGGTAGAGTTTTAAAAGTTTCTCACCTTCTGGATGCCAGTTTGGAATTATTGCACAGCAGAGTTTGTCTGCCCAGTTGCATAATGATGAAGTATTCAGTTAAAACTTTGAAAATATCATCAATAATTTTTATGTCAGAATAATTCATTTTTCATAGTTATATAATTATTTTATTTACAGTTAAATGTATGACCTTGAATAAGGTTTGAATGTAGTGTACATATCATTGTTTTTTCTTGGAAATGTTAATTTTTAAGGAAGGAAGAAATAGGAGGGAAAAAAAATTATAACTGCACAGTACATATAGTAGTAAACCAGGGAAGTTTTTTCTTTCTTCCCTCCCCAATTCTCTAAAGTCTACCAAAATCAGTTTCTTCCTATGATCATTTGTTTAATTCTGGAGATAAAACAAACTTATAACTGCACAACACGCAAAGTAGTAACAGACGATGTCCTTGTTTTTTTTTTTCTGCTCTATTTTCCCAGTGTTCTAGTCTACTAAAATATTTCTTCCTGTGCTCATTTGTTTAATGCAAAGTGTTTTTTTTTTACATAAGCATGTATACCGTACTGCATTGCCATGCTTTGCTCTTAATTCTTAAAATCTCTACATATTTTCTCAAATATAATGTCTATAGACATACTTTTGCTATAAACCAGTTTCCTAAATTGTTAGATTTTTCACACCATGTAAAACACGTGCACAGAAATGCTAGACTTTTATGAAGTGACTCTTGTTTAAATACTGTCAAGAAAGCCTAAAGGATCAAATATAGAGAAAATAGAAGAAAGTACAGAAGAAAAAGGAGTTACCAAACTGATTAAAAATGTGAATGTTACAATGAAGGAAAGATAACCTTTCCTAAGAGATTACCGAGTTGGAACATAAATGTAAGCTGCCATATCAGATGGAAGAAGTACCAAGGGATCAAAAAACTGTTTGGAATATTGTTAGAAACCCCAATATTTCTACACATAAGTAAAATCGAAGTTAAAAACTACCTGTAGAATTGGACCATTAATTGCAGAAACAAATGAAATTCTAAAAGACCAGTATGAATCATTGTTCAGCAGTCCACTTAATTAAAGCAGAGTGGAGAATGCAGAATTTTTTGAAGGTCACACAGATCATATAATTGATATAAGCTTAATCCTGTGGAATTTGAAAAAGAAATAGAAAACATACCCACTAATGTATCAGAAACACTTGATATCATTTGGAGAAAGAGCTTAGATCTAGGTGAAATCTCCAAGGCCTTTAAAAGTGTATAGTTAGTTTTATAAAGGTTTGGGTAGAGTACTAGCCAAAAATTAGACCAGTATCCTCAGCCTCACACATCATAAAAGTATTGGAAAGGGTGACGAGACTCCAAATTACAAACTTTATGGAACACAATAACATTGTGCAAACCAAATTAACATGGATTTGAATTGGGAAGAGCATGCTTATCACAGCAACTGATTCACAGGATTATGAAGGCATTGAAAGAAAACCAAAATGCAAATGTAGTATATATGGATTTTGCAGAGGCATTTGATAAAGGTAGTCATGGAGTGATTGCACATAAAATGAGGATGATGGATATGATGGGGAAAGTAACCAAATGGATATTTAACTTTGACAAATACGTAGAATATAGAGTAGGTGTCAACAAAATGAAATCTAACAATACCAAAGTAAAAAGCTCAATACCAAAAGCTCAATACATATTCATAGTACAGATAAAAACACTACATGGTTTGTATCATAAGTTGTGGACGATACCAATATAAGTATGAGAATGACCTTGGTAGGAGACATGGAAAAATTGTAGTAGGCAGTGGAAAACAAAATGTCATTTAATGGTGACAGATTTCAAGTAGAAAGAATGAAAAAAGGGGCACTATATACAAAATGCATGAGAACCACTAAATAGAACAAAAGGAATGTGTAAAGGATCTGGGTGTAATGTCAGCTGACCTGTCTTTAAAGAACACAATAAAGCAAATATCCCAACAGCAAGAAAAAATGACTGGATAGATAATAAGAACTTTCAAAACAGGGAAATAAAAGCATTAGTGACACTATCACTTGTGATCTCTTGCTACTGTTAAGGTTTGATGTCTTCATTCATGGCTCAGATTGTTTACTACTGCATAGTCAATAAAATATTTGATTTACTGGGAATGCCTCAGAATCCTAAATATGTACTCGCTGAAGCAGAGGAGAGGAAGATAAATGGTAATTTATACATGAAAGGAAATTCATAGCTTAATCCCAAATTGCACACTGCCATAACATTGGAGAGAAAGATATGGGAGGAAATGTATAATAAACCCAGTGAAAAACGGTGGTGCTGTGGGCACAATGAGAAAACATTGCATCTACATCTGTTAGCCCAAACTGTTCAACACTACCAGATGTTAGAAGCACTGATGGAATAAGTGTAGAGTCTTCAAGAGGAAACTAGACAGGCTGTAACAGATATGTGGGCCAGTGATCTGCCAGCAGCAACATCCTGGGTCACCAGGTAGGAACAAAATGAGCCTGGCCTAGGGTCGGGCTGCGGGAGTAGAAAAACTCTTGAACCCCATTTAAAGGTAGTATAGAATTCTTCAGTCTGTGGTCTCTTAAAGGTCTAAAATAGTTAATTTCTCCTTGGCTAAAATTTGCATTTGCTTGCCATGGTGACCAGACATGAACCGAGGGAATGTACCTTGTCGATACTTCACTGAATTATTGTGGCACTTCAGACCTAAGACCCTCAACTCCAGAATAAACCACATTGCATTCAGAATTTGTCTACTAAAAGTGAAGCAGAAATGTACCTTATAAACATGTACAATGGAATTATTGAGCTACGTTGTACATAGTAGCACAGCTAACCATCAGTCAAGTTACGAGATTTCTCCTGAAACTCGTGGGCTTTGACATACATATTGAATACCTGTCAAGTGTCTGCCTCTAATTCTTGTATCCTTTTGAGCATGTTGGATAGGAGTGAATGGAGTCAGGTAGTTTTAATGGACTTGTTGCATTGTGAACAAGGAAAGTTTTATGAAGGGATTCAGGAAAACCAGTTTGCCAGACTGCATCCTGGAGGGATGATGGCATTGACTGCACTTTAGAGGAGACAAGGGGATGTTACAGTTGGAAGGTAGTCTGATTGTGATGTTAGCATGCTTTTGGAAGGCAGTTGAATGAATATTTAATGTAATGTTCTTTGAGTTACTCATCTTTAGTGGAAGATGGCTGTTGAGAGAAAAAAAAGAGTATTGTTTTTAATATACAAATCTGCACTCATATTTGTAGTTATGTCATAATATTAACTATGTGGGAGAGGAGAAGAGCGATTGGTGGAATGATGATGTAAAGAGAGTGGTAAGAGAAAAATTTAGCATATGAGAGGTTTTTACAAAGTAGAAGTGATGCAAGGAGAGAGGAGTATATGGAGAGAAAAAGAGAGTGGTGAAGCAATGTAAAATGAGAGCAAATGAGGAAGTGGGTGAGATGTTATCAACAAATTTTGTTGAAAATAAAAAAAAAAAGTTTTGGAGTGAGATTAAGAAGTTGAGGAAGCTTAGGGAACAAATGGATTTGATTGTTAAAATTAGGAGAGGAGAGTTATATAAATGGAGAGTTAGAGGTATCGGGAAGATGGAGGGAATATTTTGAGGAATTGTTAAATGTTGATGAAGATAGGGAAGCTGTGATTACGTGTATAGGGCAAAGAGGAATAACATCTTGTAGGAGTGAAGAAGAATGAGTTGTAAGTGTGGGGGAAGTTTGTGAGGTAGTGGGTAGAATGAAAGGGGGTGAAACAGGTGGGATTGATGGGATAAAGATAGAAATGTTAAAAGCAGGTGGGGTTGGTACTTTTATTTAATAAATGTATGGAAGAGGGTAAGGTACCTAGGGATTGGCAGAGAGCATTCATAGTTCTTTTGTATAAAAGCAAATGGGACAAAAGAGAATGCAAAAATTATACGGGAATACCTGGTAAAGTGTATGGTAGTTATTATTGGAAGAATTAAGAATACAATGGAGAGTAGAATAGCAGATGAGCAAGGAGGCTTTAGGAAGAGTAGAGGGTGTGTAGACCGTGTTTACATTGAAGAATAGAGGTGAACAGTATTTAGAAAAGGGTAGAGAGGTTTTTGTGGCATTTATGGCATATGACATTGTGGATAGGGGGGCAATGTGGCAGATGTTGCAAATGTATGGAATAGGAGGTAGGTTATATTGAAAGAAGTGAAAAGTTTTTGAGGATAGGGAGACTCAGGTTAGAGTATGTAGGAGAGAGGGAGATTATTTCCCAGTAAAAGTACACCTTAGACAAGGATGTGTGATATATATTTATAGATGGGGTTGTAAGAGAAGTGAATATTTGGGTGTTGGCAAGATGTTTGGAGTTAAAAGATAAAGAATCTAGCACAAAGTGGGAGTTGTCAAAGTTGCTCTTTGCTCATGACACTGTGTTTGGGAGATTCTAAAGAGAAGTTGCAGAGGTTGGTGGATGAGTGGTAGGGTTTGTAAAAGAAGGAAATTGAAAGTGAATACAGTGGACCCCTGTTTAACGATATTTTTTCATTCCAGAAGTATGTTCAGGTGCCAGTACTGACCGAATTTGTTCCCATAAGGAATATTGTGAAGTAGATTAGTCCATTTCAGACCCCCAAACATACACGTACAAACGCACTTACATAAATACACTTACATAATTGGTCGCATTGGGAGGTGATCGTTAAGCGGGGGTCCACTGTATAGGAAAGAG